GTTTAGCGTCGAAATCATTTTCGACGCTAATTCGACGCTAAGAGCTTTTAGCGTCGAATTACGCTGACGCTAAATGTCTGTTTTCTTGTAGTGATAAACGTACGATAAGTTGTTTTGATTATTTCATTGATAATCATGACAGTTCGAAAATTGCTAGTAGATAATATACCTCATCGTAATCTCCTCCATTAAGGAGGTCCTCAGCAGTTAACTTCACAATGGAGAAAGTAGTACTATCAAAAAAAAAAAATTTTGCTTGTCCAGAAAAATCCATCACAGTTAGATGCAAGTTATACCTATTGAAAAAATAAGACAGGATATAAATTTAAATAATCTCTATTATTTAAAGAACCCCAAAAATAATTATGCAAACTAACCATTTATCATCATACCTTGCAATAATTCGATCCAAAAAAAAAAAATCATACCTTGCAACAAATGATGTCACGTGGGATTTATTGTAAATCTCACAAGAATATGTTACGCTCTTCATAGACTTGAACACCTTTTTGTTACATGGAATTGCTTCCAAACATGAAGAACATTAACTTGAATCTTCCACGACGCCTTGAATAGCTTCAGATCTCCAAGATGAGTTTATAGATGTCTGTAAAGCCATTTTAATGAATAGAAGGGTTTGTGAATGAATAAAAGAGAAGAAAGCTCAAGGTATTTATAATAAAATATCATAGAGATGAATAGGTTTAGATTTATTGGAGAATATTCTGTCAAGTTTTATTTTTGGTACTGAAAATAATCGATTCCTATTTTGACTTAAAACAAATATTTTTCTTTCCTTTTTTGTCATCCGAAGAATATATAAAAAAGATAAGAATCATTAGAATTATTGCTAAGAGTAAATCTTGGTAAAGAAAAGATTTAGAAAAGATCATAACAACAAATAAACAACGTAAGATTCGTTAAGATTTGATATCAAAGATTTTACCTCACACCCAAATCGAAACCCAGAAATTTCTCCTCAATTCTCTTCGATGTAAGTCTGATATGGAAAAAGATATACGACAGTGAATAAATTAAAAAAAGATGGAAAATTAATATCGATTTGGCATTTAATCATGCCACGATTTTGCAAATATGTTGATTTGATTCCAACTCAGAAATCTACCTCACACCCAAATCGAAACCCATAAATTTCTCCTCAATTCATATCGATGTAAATCAGTAGCATTGGGATTCAATTTTCACTATGCTAATTCTCTCACATTTCTGATTGGAATCACAAACCCAAACGCATTCAAATCGGTTTTTCCCTTCAATCAGAGAAACTAATTAAAGTATCGGTGAATCAAAGTATCTGTACCAAAATCCTTAAAAAAAAAATCATTGTAAACTATATTGTAAACTATATAGAATATAAGAATGCATATAGAATATCCCCTTAGTTTGTTAAAAAAGCAATATCCATCTACTTCATACTAAAAATAATAAAAAGGAATATCCATGAACCATAAATTTCTTTGGTCGAAAAACAACCAAAAAATATTTAATGCTTGTCATGAAACTCTAGATTTAGACTTAATTTTTAGATTCATGAAGAAATAACTCAGATTTCCGAATAAAGAGTACTTTATATGTACAATCGCAAACTGATTTGGATGTCTCAAACCATCACATTATTTCAAGAGGCTTACGATTACCATTTTCTCCATTTTACCTTCCCTCTATGCACACCTCTGAGGGAAATACAATGGAAGTCTCTCCCACAATACCATATTTTGTAAATCCTTGCAAAAGGGAAGAAAATCTTTTAAGAACATAAACATATAACATTTTTTTCTTATAAAAAAAACATAACATATGTTATCTTCTAACCGTAGTTGATGCAATTGGTCTTAGATCTTTACAACGCAAACTGATTTGAATGTCTCAAACCATCACATTATTTCAAAAAAACTTTCTTAAACA